CGAACCGCTCTGCCTAGCATTTGCCTAAAGGCTCGCCATCTCGTTCGCGTAGTAGTTTCTCCGCCATATCTGCTACTTCACATAGACGGGGGGCAAATCCTCGCGAGTCTAGGTTAAGAATATATCGTACGATAGTTTGCTCTTCAGACTTAGTTAGCTTCTGGCAATTTGGCTGTGTTGTAGGTCGAAAGGTGATTCCTTGAAGCCGCCGAGAGATCTGCTGATGATGGACGTTGTAGGCTGCTGCAGCGCGTCGAATGCTCTTAAACTGGCCTGTACGATAGGCCTGAACAGCTAGAGTAAGCCTACCTTCTTGCTGAGTTAATATCGCGTTCTGTTGTTGGGGCATTATTTTTCGTACGTGAAGTTCGTGATGCCAAGAAAAAGTGGCACACTCGGTGATGTGGCCCGCTCGGTGATGGAATACGTTACGTATTATATAGTAATAGTATAAGTGCCTTAAAGGCTGCTAGCTTACCTCAAATAACATACTAAGCTTCTATACTAAATAGTACTTATTTAGTAGCTTAGTTAGTTATATAACTAGCGCTAAGTTATTATGTTATAGTACTAACTCTATATAGCTTGGATGTTACAGCGCTAATATAGCCCTCTAGCTTAGCAGGCTTATAGGTAGGTTAAATAACAAATTATTAGTAGGTTGTTTAACCCGCGCCCATTCCGGCCTCAGTACTATAGGTGGGCGCAAGAAGCAATGCGGGCCGTCTTGCCCATCTCGGCAGAGCACCACGCAAGTAACTTAGCACCACGTACCCCAAGCTTCTTCCCCACAGGTGCGGGCTGGCTAGGCTCGAGGCGTCTGGCGTCGTCGGCGTCTGCTCCATCGTCGGCTTTGGTCTGCACTCTTCGCCTGCGTACTTGTACATTCCTGTCCTTCTCCCATCCTTACTCCCACTGCATGTAGCTTTGTCGTGCGCTTGCTGTAGTTTTACCTAGCTCAAGGCAAGCCTCAGCCCCGACCATTCACACCATGGCCAAGGTTTTCGATTACGCCGAGGGTTTGTCACCGCCGTTGTTGAACTCGCAGCCCGGTCGCTAACCCGGAATCCAGTCGCAAAGCACAACACGGCTGAAAGCTGCTGGGTCATCCTGTACGGCAATGTCTACGATGTAACGCGCTTCCTGCCAGAGCATCCTGGCGGCACCAAGGTCATCCTCCAGCTCGCGGGCAAGGACGCCACGGAAGAATACGATCCTATTCATCCACCGGGCATCCTCGAAGAAAACCTCGAAGCTTCCGACAAGCTCGGCACAGTCAACCCAGACACGCTGCCGAGAGAGGAGAAGACACCAAAGGAAACAGGCGAGGCGCCGCAACAAGAAGGGCCCGTGGATCTGGACAGTCTTCTGAATCTCGATGACATTGAAGAGGTAGCGACCAGGCAGATACCGCACAAGGCATGGGCATACTACTTCTCTGCGAGCGACGACCTGCAGAGCAAGTCGTTCAACAATGCCGTCTACCGGCGCATACTGCTGCGCCCACGCGTCTTTGTCGACTGCACGCGCTGCGACACGTCGACGTCGTTCCTCGGGCACAAAGTCAAGCTGCCCATATACGTCTCACCCGCCGCAATGGCCCGATTGGCACATGCAGACGGCGAGTGGGGGATCGCACAGGCATGCGAAAAGTACGGTGCCATGCACCTCATTTCGCACAATGCATCCATGACGCCCGAGCAGATTGTTGCTGACGCCAAGCCAGGCCAGGTGTTTGGATGGCAGCTGTACGTGCAAAATGAGCGACGCAAGAGCGAAGCCATGCTCGCTCGCACCAACAAGCTTGATTGCATCAAGTTCATCTGCCTCACACTCGACGCGCCCGTGCCAGGGAAGCGCGAGCACGACGAGCGCGGCAAAAACGTTGCGTCAAATCTGCCCGTGCGCGCCGCTGTCCAGGAATCCCAAAGTGCTAGCAAGACGTCGCCTGATGCAAAGACACCGACACAAGCAAGCGAGAATGACAAGCCCAAGCCAAAGGCCATGGGCGTGGGCCAGAGCCTGTTCTGGGGCACAGCGGCGGACTTGACATGGAGCACTACGCTGCCTTGGCTCAGGAAGCACACAGACAAGCCCATTGTGCTCAAGGGCATTCAGACACACGAAGACGCTTACCTGGCTTCTCTCCACGCTCCACACGTCAAGGCCATCATCCTGTCCAACCACGGTGGCAGGGCTCTGGACACGGCACCACCAGCCGTACACACGTTGCTCGAAATTCGAAAGTACTGCCCAGAAGTCTTTGATCGCGTCGAAGTCTGGGTTGACGGCGGTATCAAGCGCGGAACCGACGTTGTCAAGGCCCTTTGTCTAGGTGCCAGGGGCGTAGGCATTGGGCGAGCACCGCTATTTGGTCTTGGAGCTGGAGGCAAAGAAGGTGTGGAGAGGGTGCTTGAAAGTAAGTCGTCGTCTATATTGTCATACGTAACCATTCTCTCTGCTAACCACACGGACAGTCCTCAAGGCCGAAACCGAAACATGCATGCGTCTTCTCGGCGTGGAGAAGATTGAGCAATTGGGCATGCAACATATCAATACTAGAGCTGTCGAGCGTGATATCTGGGATGGTCCGTTGCTAGAGCGAGACGCAGTCAAAGCTAAGCTTTAGACGTGGGGTTTGAATGCCTGCATGCGGCATATATGCAAACTGCACTCCGTTGTATGGTGGTGTTTCAAACAAGCCCGGCGATAGTCAGTAGAAGGGGTTGAGGGGGGTTTTTTTTTCATTCATGTGTATATCTGATATGTGTTATGCACGTCCACATTCATACCGAGGGGAGAAGAAAGGGAAAAGGAGGACGCTTCCACCGGGATGACTATTATTAACCAAAAATAAGCCGGACCGGTGGGGGATGGCGCAGTGGTGGAGCGCCTGGAAAATTTTCTGCTGTCTCACGTCAGCAAAGATCGAAGGTTCGAATCCTTCTCCCCTCACAACCATATTTATGGTCCACCCACATGAGAGAGTTACTCATTAAACTACCTATTCGACTG